TCCTGGCTCTTAATGACATTATCATTGCTTTAATTTTATTGTACAATACCTGTGTAGACAAGTGCTGAAATAGCAATTTCAGAGCACAAAAGCTATTAATCAGATGGGGGTGGAGGGAAGGAGGTGGTGTGTGTGTGTGTGTGTGTGTGTGTGTGTGTGTGTGTGTGTGTGTGTGTGTGTGTGTGTGTGTGTGTGTGTGTGTGTGTGTGTGTGTGTGCGTGTGGGGGTGTGTGTGCGTGTGTGTGTTGTTAGCAGCTGTTAAATCCCATCTGTGACTTTAGAGCTGCTTATGCTACTGTGTGTATTGATTTTAACAAAGATGTATTTACACTACCACCAAAGAAAAGCGTTTCATGTACAGAACCTTGAACATGTATTCATGCTGTTGAACCGTTCCATATTTTGTCACATTGCAACTACAAACTTTCAGTGTATTTAATTAGATCCCGTCTTTAGATGTTTCTAAAAGCACCACTGACCAAACGGGATCATAAAGACAAATGGATGGTAAAAATGCTCAATGGCCTTTACTTGTACAGCGCTTTATCGAGTCCTGACTAACCCAAAGTGCTTCACACTGCAATTAGTCATTATCTACACACACATTCACACACTGTTGGAGACAAGCTACTGGACAGTAGCCACCGCTGCCCTGGGGCACGCTGACAGAGGCAAGGCAGCCATGATTTAATCCTAAATGCATGAGGTTGACTCGTGTTGGACAGGTTAGTGGGGAACTCAAGTCCTGAAGAGGGAAAGGTTTCATCAGAGGGTTTGTGCTCTGACTGAGGTTTAGAAATATTCATGATCAATACTGGAGTTTCTTTTTTAGCTTTCCTCTTGTCATTTTGAGCTGGAGACCTTTTAATAACGCTAAAAAAAAAAATTTTTTTTTTAATTTGAATCCACGTATCAACCTCGATCTCAATCCTAAAATAGTAAAAATGTTCAAATCTAAAATAGAAATTACAACATGATGCAAAATAAATGCGTGTTTAACATGTAATGGAATAGAAAGTGCTTTTATTTTGTTTTTTATCCAGAAGTATCCACAGTTCAACAGTGAGAGAATATTTGAGCAAAATTACTTTTTTTTGTTTGTTTGTTTTTTGTTTCCTAAGCAATCCAAAGACATTTAATACAGCATTCATTAAAGCCATGCACATGGTCATTATTGTGAAGCTACTGCAAACATGAGCAGATTGTTATGAGCCATTTGCGTCCCATAACTCACCAACGTCACTGGCTAATAATAAAGCTCATCCCTTCACTGTAAAAATGTGCAGCATCTGCAGCCTGTAGCTCAAATACCAACTTCCTTTCACTCTTTGTTACATCAGATAGAAGCAGTTAATAAAACTCAAGTCTCAGACCAGCAGTCCAGTCCAGTCCAGTCCAGTCTTAAGTTTTTAGAGCAAAAGTCTAAGCATAATCTGAGATGGAAAAAAATTGAGTGGAAATTCCTTACCAATGGCCAACCTCAATGAATATCCAGCAGATTTTCACTGTTGAATATCTGTTGGATATTTAACAATGAATGCCACAAACTTCTAGAGTAGAGGTAGCTGTGATAATATCCATGTTCACCTCTGACAGTTTATATCTTGTTAATCAGTCACACAAATTGGTGTATAAACTCTGACAGTGAACATAAAATCTGTGTGAACATCCAAAATTCACTGAAATACTTCTTTTTCTGGAATGAGTGAAGTGTGTTGAAGATGCTAACTTGGTGAAGCATGACAGTGTCACATTCCAAGATTTTAAGTCCAACTTCTTAGGTGAATACCATGAACTTTGAATACTTCACCTTTGCCTACAAAAAAAAAAGTCAATCATTTTTTGTGATTTTTTTTAAAGAACTGAAGTAAGTGGAAGATTAGCTTTAAAGATGAAAGATTTAAAATCTAAGTTTAAATAAAAGTCATAATGCATAATTCATTTGCTGTAGCACCATCTTTTAACATTTTCTTTTTTTCTTTTTTTTCCCAAGCTACATATTGAACCTTTGAACTTACAGTCAAAGGAAGCGAAACCCAAAAGAAGTCCCAAAAGAAGTCCTTCACAAAGACCGACTGTAAGTCGCTGCGTTTATCATTGAGGAACGATGAAATCAAAGAGCGGATGAACTAATCCTCTCAACTCCCAGCAAGCCAAGCAGGTAAGGTTTTACTTTCCACTGTCTATACTGTTTAGTCAAGGCACTACAAAGGAAATAAAATCTGACAAGTGAGCACGAGACTGAGATTACTTTACAGTTCAAAGGTCAAAGTTCTCAAATTTTCAATCCCTCTCAAAAACCTTTTCACCGTTGTATGAAGAAAGAAAAAGCCCCAGTTTAAGATGATAAAACGGAGGTTCTCACTGCTTTTAAAATATGCAAAGCAGACCATGCTAACATTAACCACCGCCTACATTATTTATACTCATGAAAAGTGTTTCATCAGCAATATGTCTGCTTTATTTTACCTTAAAATATTCAAATTGAAGCAGAACTAAAATATCCACCGTGTAACGCAAGCCAAAGTATGGCTCTTTAAAATATTCTTATAAATCAATGCTAACTATTTTTACATATTTGGTGAAATGCAGTTTGTGTTATTGCAATTTTCCCAAGTGGCAATTGTTAGATAAATTGCCGAAGGCTTAACAAGCTAAAAGAAGCAGTTTTGTCTTTCTGTGTCTGAAATATCGTGAAGAATTGATGATCGCCCATTTTCAGCAAGACCTAGCGGTATAAAATAACGGAAGATGTTTTGTTTTATAGCAAAGATGGAGATTGTCGAATTTTTATTGACGTTATTTACAGTGGAGGGGATTTTAGAGTGAGAGTGAAAAGCTTTTACCGCGGTCCACATTTGCCACGTAGCAGGGAGGTTTTTAAAAACTAAAGTGCTGCTTGTCTGCTTTTTAACACTCAATCTTTTCCATCGCCCTTAATTCCCCAACGCCCATCACAAATTTAGCCTGGTATGTGACTGCTAATTTATCCTTTCGATGTATGATATCCTGTCATCTCCTCATTTGTCCCTGAGTGTTTCTAATCGGAGATAATCCCAGTCAAATCCTTTGATTGTGTGTTTGGAGCTGCTCCATCTCTAAAGAAGCAATTTAATGGCTTTATGGCACTCGGTGTAAAGTCATTTATCTAGCAGGTTGGATGTGGATGCTTGTTTTAATAAGTGCTCTTCATGAATAGTAGGAGAGGTGCCATTTAATTAGCCAGAGTGTGGACCCAGCTCACAAGTACAATATTTTGAAGTTTTTTTTTTCCTTCATGTTTTTGTGTTATTAATAGAACAGAATGAGATATTCTGGTTTCAACAAAAGGCTTCACAATGGAAAATTGGACTCACAGCATGTCGTGGATAAAGCCATTTTCTTACTATGAATATTTTCAACTTTTCAACAACTTTCGACACTTGTCTTTGTCTTGTTTTAAATTTTAATATTTTTTTTAAACAAAGAGTGTTAGCTGGATGGGTGTGTGTTCAGAATAATAACACTAGTTTTTTTTTAAGGTTTTTTTTTGGATTGGACTCAACTCTCATTTTTTAAATATACAGACGTACATTTAGTATTTTCATTCAACATAATTATCACTACTTTCCAGCAAAAGATTTAAACAGTGATTTTTTAAAAAAAAAATCAATGAAGGATATTTAGATACTCTCCAAGTGAATTGAACAATTCAACTCATTCACAAATATAATCCAAATCAGAATATCACTGTAATCTGACGGTTAATTTGAAGGAAAAAAAGTAGTGATGTAGAGAGAAGTAGGTCAGCTATGCTAGCTTGACTTTGACAACCTTCGCATGTAGATGGGCTTCGGGATTTTGTGTCGTTGGTGCTCTCTGACACTGTCAGATTGTCAGTAGAGCATGTTTTTAAATGAGCTAATCAGCTCCGACTGTGTTCAGGCCATCACTTATTAATAATAACAAATTCAACATTAGGTTTGAAAATGAACTGCAACAGACGAGTTGTTCTGTTTTTGGTTTTTGGTGTTGAATTCCGACGTATTAGTGGAGCAAATGGATGGATGTAAATAAAAGAATCATCTTTTGACCTTCCAGCGTTGCGCGCGTGCGTTAAGTTTCCAGATGTAAACGATGACATGCAACGTGTCGATAGCTGATCAGTCATTTTCTAATTGTACTGAATATTTACCAACCTAACGGAGCTGTGCATTGTCTGAGATTCAGCTCTGGGGTTTCAAGGTTATTGCCTGCTTCACATCAAGAGCAAAACGTTTTTAAAAAGTGTCAAGAAAAGGTGAAGTGGTTTAGAAGAGCTTACCAAAAACTGGCAGCACCTTTTGAAGATATTTAGCTGATACGAGTTATGATAACATTTCATTTCCCTCCCAGATAAACAAAGTATTTTTGAAACGAACTGACTTCATCCATCCATTCTTGAGGTGACACACAAGCACTAAGGGTATTTTATTTATTTATTTATTTGTTTTGCATCAGTCACACTCAATGTGTAGTTGTTGTGAATGTTCCTGGGGAAACCTCTAATGGTGAAGCATAAAAAGCCACCAGAAGTACGGTAATGTGAACCACACACAGAACTTTCCACAGCAGAAGGTGTTGAAAGATGTGCAGGGAAATCCCAGAATCGGCTCACGGTTTCCCAGCAGTAGGCGGACAGAGCGCTGCTTTCAGAAGCAACCTCTTTGACTTTATGTTCCTTATTATAAATGTGTTATGGTTTGTCCCGTATAACCCTAAACAAAACACCCTTCACTGTGTGTCTGGAATGGAAAACAAGCAACCTGAGCGAGATTAGAATCATCAGTTTATTAGGCCTCGACATCTGTTTCTAGACAAACGAAGAGAGAGAGAGACAGAGAGAGAGAGCAGAGAGAAAGAGAGAGAGAGAGAGATTCGTTTCAGCGCTGCTTCCTGTTTTGACGTTCCCTGTGCGCGGCTCCGATTGGCTGCTCGCGTTCACTGCTTCCGTAGAAACAGAAACACAAGAGTCTGTCAGCTGACGGCGAGTGCCAGCAGAAATGCAGGGGTGAGAGGCTCTGTTTTCACACAAGAATCAGTCCATAAATTCTCATCTGTGCGTGTGTGTGTGTGTGTGTGTGTAGCTGCAGAGAGCAGCAAACGGGAAGTAAAGGAAAGTATTGGTGTGTGTGTGTGTGTGTGTGTGAGGAAACTCAGAACAGGGTGGAAGAAGTTGTCTCCAAACAAAGAGAGAAACATGGGCACTGAGTACAAACCACTGTCTTCAGAATGGTGCAGCAGTGTTGTTGTGGGTAAGTGTCATTTCCTCATTATGTCGAGAGGAGAATTCTGCATGCCACAGTTTAATGTTGAAATTTGCAATAGATTAGTTTCTTTTTTTCCCTTGTTTTTTTCTTCTCTTCTATGGAGGTGTTTTACTGCCCAGCAGTCTCACTCCAAAATAATAAACATTGAAAGTATTTCGGACGTGTTTAAAATGAGTTTGGTCCGTCACTTAACAATATGACTAAAAAGGAATTTAATGTTGCAGTTCTCACATGATTAAGTCATAATGAACTGAACTGAAGACTCTGTGGCCACAATTTGGATCTGATGCTTTTTTTTTTCTTTAGTCTTTCTTTTTAAATGTGTAATGCTTAAAGGGACAATTCGGCATTTCTGAAGTGAGGTTGTGTTAGAAGGATTTAGTCTTTGCTGGATTCGCTTTGTGTTTCACACAGGAAGGTCATTGGTCACCTCCCAAATCCATTTCCTCTGTAACTAATAAATGTTGGTTGCAAGCTTGATAAAAAAAAGAAAGTGTTTCCATAATCTGTTGTGAAGTTGTTACTGGAGCTCTCTGAAGAGGAAGGAAGTCTGCTCCAATCTAAATCTTTCTTGGATTAATCGTTATTTTCAGTCTTTGGTGGTTGTTCTGGTTCCTATTTCTCACTGGTACCAGTAGACTTACTGTGTTATAGATCCAAATGTTCTCTGAAGGAGTCCATGTAAAACTGTGAATGAATGATCTGAGGTAAATATCATCAGAGATGCTATTTTAAAAGATGAGGCAGCCATATTGGATTTCGAGGATTTCTCTGGCAATATTTCCAACGTTTTTTTTTCCTGTGGCCTGTCTTTCATTTCTTCAGTGTTTATGAGATAATATGACAATATGGACCAGTCGTTCTGTGTTACTGTGATAAAATCCCTGTAGACCATGTCTGCTTCATGAGATTGCTATGAGTTGTTAGAAAACTGATGGACAGCTGAAACGTTTTGCGGGTTTAATCACATAAAAGGTGCCTGCGAATCCCAGGTTTACTGCCCTAACATTTTATGAAACGCGCTCGTGATTTATCAGATATGTTGCCTGATGAAGGAAGTAAACGGTTAGTGGCAATTTTTTATTTTCATTTTTTGCCAAATCCCGGTGTCGTTCCTGGTGTCAGCTCACTGCCCCCTCTACCCCATGCAACGCCGCTGCCACCCTCTCCATTGCAGCCAGATGGCTGTTGCACAGGCGGTTCCTCGCCCAGACCACGCTGATTCCCCATCATTCTTCGGTTAATGAGGTCGTTAGCAATGCAGTGGACAATTAAATTATCCAAATCTGGCATTTTCTTCACATGTTTACTTCTGCTGTGCTGTTTGCTGCTCCAAATACGTCTGATGAAATGACACACATCTTTATTCATGGCGTTCACACAGTGGCCTGCAAACATCCTTCCATCACTTGGACTTTTCTTGCCTTCTGTCATTTACAACCACAAATGTATCTGTTTGATATAAATACATTTCTTTTAAATGATTGTCCTACATAATGCAGTGTATGACCCCTAGCCGTCTTGACGTGGCAGTCCAAACTGACATGAACGCACCATGAAGTTCCTGGTTGGACATGAACTCTGCTCTGCTCCATCGCTGCTGCCGACAGTCTGGCGCAATCCGGTCAGCATGTTGTGCAATTAGACCTGAATATTCAAGAAGACAACAGGAAGATGGACGGCAATGCAGATGGGGGATGATTAAAAACATAAGTCATGTTTTTTAATGACTTATCACATGAACAAACTTATTCACATGTGATTTTTTTTTATTATTGTGTTTTTCATTTAATAAAAACACAGCAGTTACGGAATTGCTTTTTTTTTGACATCAGCGGAAAACGACAAGGTTTTGCGCACGTTTGTAATGGAAACGCAGCTGTAGATTCCACCTGTGTGTAATCTGATGTTGACCTGAACTCAGCTGTTCTGCGAAGGCCTCACAGGTTTTATAGAGAACATTGGAGAACAAACAGAACTGCAATCAGCAGACAGGTCAGGGAGAAAAATGTGGAGAAGCTTAACGCGGGATTAGCTTATAAAAACGAGTTTCCAAACGTCATCGGAAAATGGAAAGAGTGTGGCACGTCTGCAGAGAAACATCCTTCCCTCCTGAGCTGGTAGGCCAGGCAGAGATGGCATTAATCGTTCCTAATCTGGAGAACCTGCAGAGACCCACAGCTCAGGTGGGAGGGTAAGACGGGACGATTATTAGCTACTATGGCTTTCACGAAAGAAAGTCATAAAAAGTCATAAAAGGGAACACAGCAAACATGTGGAGGAATGTCTTCTGGTCAAATGATAGTAAAATCAAAATGTCTGGCCTCCAGGCAAAGGCTTTCTGTGGCCCGAACACGACGTCCCTATTGTAAAACAGTGTGGCGGCAGCACCATGTGTGGACGATTTTCTGAAGGAAAGACAGAGAAGTTGTTCTGAGGTGATGGAACGTAGGTTGGACCTGAATACTCAGCAAAAGTGAAAGAAAACCTGTTAGAAGTTGCTTGATCGCAGGACAACAACCCTCTGCAGCTCTGGAGTGGAAATGGGGTAGTTTAAATAAGAGCAGTTATGGCCTAGTCAAAGTGTACATTATGAATTAAATGTACAGATATAATTTTGAAAGAGTGGAAATTGTGAAATGGGGTAAAAATTCGATGTGTAAATATTTCTAATGTGGGACATATTTGGATGAGGCAGAATTTACTGGGCTTGGGCTTCTTTGGACTCCTTCTTTAACTTCATATGAAAGTTTTGTCTTTTAGGTTTAATTGTCATTTTTATTTCTCTGACTTTCTACATGTTTGAAATGAAAAAAAAGGGGAGAAAAAAACAACTTTTTAAATCGTGCATTTTAACATTTCGACCTCACAGAATTAAACACAGCGATTAATCGGATTCGCATCTTTTCTGAATCGACTCCGGTTCGAGCGCTCGCTTTAGCAGGGCGCAGTCTTCATCTCTTTCTCTTACCTCTCAAACCTTTTTGGCATTAAAGTGGCAAACAGAAGCTGCGGCGCTGCCTCATCAGCGACAAACCCCGGCTGGGAGACGGCGCTGCAGCCGCAGCGCGGGAACTTTGTTAGCTGTTAAATCGTGCAACTTCAGCCAGTTAGTCGAGCACACTCCTTCATGCGAAGCGCTGCCGAACACTGACACCGCTGACAGTTAATTATGGGAGTCACAGATCACGGCGGCGTGTCAGGCTCGGGCTGCGATTGACACGCCGCGTGTTTACATCTCTGTTGTAATGTTGTTTCCTAGTTGCTTTCTCGGCATCAGTGGTGTTATTTAGTTGCACAAGTGCCTCGGGGCTCGCCATAATGATCGTAAAAGCGGCCCGGATTCAGGAGAGTGAACCGCTAAAAAGGACTTGTGGGTATAATTGGAGAACCTGCCATCACAGCGGCGCTTCGGGAGGAAAATATTTGAGCTCAGGCTGTTGAAACGCGCAGACTCTCCCTGTTAGGAGGACTGTCACTCTGTGCAGGTCCGTCTCCTCTACGCACGGCTCCATTATTTTCCAGCCAAATCTTCCTGCGCGCACAGAAAGTTATTTTGACAGCGACTCGGAAAAGCGACCAAAACCCAACGCTCAGCTCAAGACGGGCGCGGACGCATGCATTTTGGGGTTTTTCTTTTTGGAAGGAACTGGCGGGGAAGTCGAAGAGGCCAGGTGGCCCCTGACCACCAGGGAGGGAAGAGCAAGACGCCAGCCAGATGCCATATAACTGACTCAAAATGCCATTTGTAGGACTAAATAAAAAGCGATTAAAAAGAAAAAAACAACTTCTACTCGTTCCCCTGCCTTTTTTTTTCTTTTTTACAGCTTGTGTCAGACTCATTTAAAGTTTTGGAGAAATGTGCTAGGTCAGTAATAAAATGTGCTTACGCAGATTGAGACGGGTACATTAAAAAAAAAAAAAAAAAGCCCAGCCTTTGATTAGAGCCTTTTTCATCTGGTGTTAGATTTCCACCTGAAGCACAACGTGGCTCTAATAGATGCCCAGAAGAGACAGCAGCTTCTGAGGCAGCACTTCAACCCTCCATCCCCCACGAAGAGCCGCCATGACAGTGAGCCACCTCCTCCCAGTGTTTTTATGGGATGAAACCACCATCATCTGCCTTCCAGCTACACTGTCCAATTCTTAGCTTCAAAGCTGCTGCTTCACGATCATCGCCAAAGACGAAATTGCAGAAGTTTGTAGTTAAACCAGAGGTGCTGGCCACAGCAAAGTAGAGCATAAACAGCACATAAAAACAGTCAGTACATAGATTTTTATTTTCTCCACATGCACAGTTCCGTACAGACCGTCTGAATGTTTCCACGTTGTGTCCCGTTAAAAATGTTGGGGTATTTTGAAAGGGCGGCGTTATGGAAAATTGATGTGTTATAATATTCCCTGATCAAAAACGAAGCTGTAGTGTTGCCTTGATTCTTTCATGCACGTTTGAGAAATCATTTAATCTCCCGTGGCAGCCAGTCACCTGTGCAAAATGTCCGGGTGGACAAAGCTCCTCCTTCAAGGACAGAGCTCCTCCTCTCAGCTGCAGTTTCAAGAGCTTCCGCTTCACAGAACAGCCCTCCCCCACACCTCCCTCACCCAGCTCCTTCAGACTAGCCAGCAGCAGTTAGTAAAGTGGGTGACCTCTGCTGAGCTCATTATACTCTCAGTGCAACAGTGGAAAAAACCTGGTTAAAGGGTTAATAGAGGAGACATGTTGTAGTGACTTCCTGAAGGTGGAGTTTACGAAGGAGCAGCTTCTTAAAGAGACACAGCCCCAATTTCAAGATGTTAAAAATCCAAATAAACATTTCTTTCAACTCATGTTTGATGTAGATAGCAGCTGACGGTAACATAGTTATTTGATTGTAATATAAAATGGCACAATTTGCCTGGAAAACTCACAACAATCCAACAGATTTGATGGGACAGACCAGCGGTCAGCAACCTCTTTTGCTGCTGTTGCTACAAAACAAAATGTGTTTGGTGCCACAAAATGATATGTACTAAATGTACAAATATGTACATGAATTTTTTTTATTTTAAAAGTTAGTAAAGTTGAACTAAAATGAATTTTAAAATTTTTATGAGAAGTCAACTAACTTTCACACAGGGAAAAAATATATTTTGTAAAATGAGGCTAGTTGAGCTCTTTCCTTTAAAATGAAAAATGAATAGAACAAGCACCGTACAGAAACACAACACATTTTTCTGTTTTCTGTTGCAAATATCTGAGTGCACGTGAAATAATATCAGACTAGCTTACAAGTAACTTACAAGTAACAAAAAAACTTTCAGAAAAGAAGCTTCTTCTTGTCAATAATTCCTTATTAATGAAAAATTGCTAATTCCACTGTCAGATTATTTAACTTATCCTATTTTTTCCCCACATTTTAAGTGGGAAAAAAAGTCTGACCTCAGTCCGTCTGGATTTAATCTCTAGAATGCGTTTCTCTTGAGTCACTGAAGTAAACGAACTGTTGAATAATAATCTCATCTGTTTTGAATATAATTTCTAATCCAAGTATAAATTCAGATATGCTCCAGCAAAGCAGTTTAAGACACTTTGTATGTTATGACATTTTTGGCATTTGTGACATTTGTGCATTTCTCGCCACCAACCAACAAAACACCAGAGGTGTTTTTTTTTCTTCTTTTTTTTCAGTTGAACAGTTAAAGTGTCAAATTAAGAGGTGAAAAAGAAAAAAAAAAACAATTTCTCGTCACAGAATAACAAAAACCTGCAATTTTGACAGGGGTGTGTACACTTTAGAGAGCCACTAACAATGTGTCAAAGCCACAGACTCACGAACGCCATCGGCTGATGTGAAAACACTTCCAACGCTTGTCTTTCATCATTTCAGCTCATTTCTTGTTATATAAAATGTAAATGTGAAGCTGCAGAGACCGAGCACAGAGTGCCTGTCATGTAAAACACGTGGGATTACCTAACATAGGCCGTTTATTGCCTCATCAGCAAAAATCAGCTTCCTTCAACAACCTTTGATGTCATATTCACTTCACCGCGATCCCACATGGGAGCCAAATAAACGTGGAATGCCCAGGGGAGAGCTGTGCAGCGCGTGTTAAATACTATTACAGAAAAAGCCAGCTGTGCACACAGGAGACTATTTGATATGGATCTTAAAGCAAATCCAGAATTAGCCTATGATTTAGTGTGAACTTTACTGACATCTTTCCTTTCCTGCTCCTTCTTCTTCTACAGAGACGTCGGAGTGCTTCATATGCAGGGACGGCGAACTGAAAACCAGTGACCCGCTGAGGAATTTCTGCGACTGCAAGACTTTACTGGCTCATCACGTGTGTCTGTCCACATGGATCCAGAGGGTAAGACAGACGTCCCTCAGCTGATATTTAGGCTGTTTTTCCTCATCAGCCACTTATCAAAATGTGGAAGGTGGTGTGGGAGTGTGTGTGTGTGTGTGTGTGTGTGTGTGTGTGGGTGTGTGTGTGTGTGTGTGTGTGTGTGTGTGTGTGTGTGTGTGTGTGTGTGTGTGTGTGTGTGTGTGTGTGTGTGGGTTGGGGTGGTGGGGGGGGGACATCTGTGCCAGTCTCCTATCAGTGAATAAATGCGTTTGCCTCCTTAGCATTCCTTATTGAGACAAAACATTGCTGCCTAATGAGCTACGTTTCAAATAGCAATCCCAATTACTTTTAATGAGGGTTGCTAACAATGATAAGGCATCGGAGGCTCCGACGCTGAGCGGCGCCTCGTAACAGACTGGCAGAAATTCAGGAGGCTATCATGCAGCCGACACCTGTCACCCACCGCCGAGCAGCTCATTAACACCCGCCATCCTCCCTCAACCCACGGCTGCTGGAGTTTGCTGGGTGGTTTTTGCAACTCCGGACACGCCCGTGCGTCTCTTTCTGCTCTTCTGATTCCCACAGTTTAAAGTTTTACAGGTGAACTACCTTTGGTTTTTGGTTCAGACAACTTGTGGTGATAGTAGCAATAACGCAAATTGCTGCCATCTCTGATTGAGGAGTGCTGTGGCGGAGTACAATCAGTGACTCACCCGTCAGTCGGCTCATGACTAATAAAAAGGACCTGAGGTAGAGGCAGGTTTCCCAGATCGCCTCTCTGTGGCGACTGGGAGGTCAAATACTGATTCACTGTGTTTGTTAATGCATCTGAACTGAAATCTGCTTCTTCTTTAGTGCAGAAACACGTCAACGAACAGAACTGGGTTTAGCGATAGTTTATTCAGAACTGTTACTGTTAATGAGCCCTATTGTGCATTTTGTGTTTGAAACTTTAGTATGCAACTGTTACAAACACAATTCCACATTTGTTTAAGCTGGCACCGTGTGATGGCACTTTAATATGAGACGGACAACCTGTGAAACAATCGATCTCAGGTGATGGCCGTCTTAGTCAAAAACAACCAATCAGAGCCAGGAAGAGGGGCTTACTGCTGTCAATCAATGCCGCTCAATATGCTAATGCTGTAGAAGCAAGTTACCATTCCAGGAAAACCGTTTATTTACATTAACCTATGGCTATGCTAACTAGCCTTAGCATTTGTGGCAGCCTATGTTGTGGTGAACTAGCTGCAGCATAGCAGAAAACAAGAGGGAGGTGGTGAGCAAGCGAGTGATCGACAGCACTAAGCCCCTCCTCCTGCCTCTGATTGGTTGTTTCTGGCTGTGTGGCGTATTAGCGTTGGGAGGACTGGAAGAGGCAGAAGAGCTCTTCTATACATACATATATATTTTATATAAAGTGTTCTGTCCACTTTTAGAAACTCCCCAGTTGAAGTCACACGACTATTCTACAAAAACGACTCGCAAGAGACAGCGAGGAAAAACAACAACCCGGATCAAACCAAGCTAAAAAGCAGCGCAACCATGTTTAATGTTGTTCCGACACACCTGCATATTTCCTGTCTTGACAGCCAATATGTCTTGTGTGAAAAAGAAAAACATTATACAAAAGAAGAAACTTCCCCTTGGATCCGTGCAGCGTTCTAGCCTCTCTTGGCTCACGATTGTTTTGTCAGCCTGCAATTTGACTCTTTGGTTTCGCTCCTCTTATCAAAATCCCTTTCAGAAGCAGCAGATAGGTGTCTTTGGTAAAAAGCCTTTTAAGCACCTGTTGGGCTCTGCTGGCACCAAATTGCGGCCTATCATTAGCAAGAAGCCGGTAAACATGCTGAATAAACCTGTATTTCCTTGATAAGGTGGAGGATAAAAAGCAACAACTTTACTCAGGGTGTAGTTAGGTTTTAGAAGTACGAGTCAAAATGAATCAGAAGGTGAATCATTTCCTCTTGACTGTGTGAAAAGCTTTGGGTTCATGAAGTTATGTCTCTGGGCCTCCAGAGTGGAGCAAATGAGATGTGAAGCGGAAAGAAACATATTTTTATTTAAAAACGTAAGTTTTAAGCAAAATTTAAAAATAAATAAATATATAAATATATATTTATGCTAAATCTCTAACTCGTTTTACATAATGAAGCAAAACAGTCTGATTATTGCAGAAAATGAAGAAAATCTGAACATGTCTGAATCAACAGTCAGGCATGTTTGTCTCATCTAAATAGAAATATAGAATTTCAATCTCCTCCTTAAGATCACATCTGAAGAGCATTTGGAAGCCGAAAGCAAACAATCCTATTTATCATTAGAAATAATTTAAAACCACATTCGTGCAGATATTCGATGAATGCGCGTTGCGGTTCTGAACCCTGACCAGCAGAACCTGTGTGTGCCGGCGCCTCGCCTCGCCTCACTCCGGACACTCCACAAGTGGCCGACAACACGCCGCTGCAGACCTTTCATCTGCACCACCCAGCTGTCACAGTGAAGAGCCACTTCCATTAAGTGTGTGTCTTCCCACTATACAATTACGTACAAACACACAGGCTGATGCAGCCGGCACGCACACAGACACACACAGAGACACACGCAGCGCCGCACTCAGCTGAGACCGCGCTCTCCTGTCAGCGGACGACTTTCACTTGTGTGTGTGTGTGTGTGTGTGTGTGTGTGTGTGTGTGTGTGTGTGTGTGTGTGTGTGTGTGTGTGTGTGTGTGTGAGAGAGACAGGGGAGCAGACAGACAGAGAGAGCTTGCGACCTTTTAGAGTGCTCAGGGTAGGAGGCCTTTTCCTTTTATGGAACAGAAATCAGCAATTGACCTGTCACTTTTGCTCTGATAGCCATCTCTGGAAAGCAGGTCATGCACATATGTCCAAAGTGCCTCTTAACCGCATTTTATGAAAGCAGAAAATGTAATCCAATAATGATTTGACTTGCGAGGGAGAGGCAATCTGGCCGGGGAACGGCTAGCGGTAGCATTGGGGCCGTTAGCGCCGATACGAGCCGCACGTACGTTTTTCCAGCATCAAAAAAAAATTGTCTAAATGTTTGCCACTACAGAATTAAAGGGGAACACATTCTTTATCATGTTTGCAGTGGGGCTGAAACAATTAATTGAGTTAATCATGAATAATTGATCATTTAAGTAATTGCTAACTGATTTAGTAATCGGTTAATTGTTAAATAGGAATTTGCTGAAAAAACAACACAGTCAGAGCAGCAATTAAAGGGGCAGTGCTACATAAAAACAACTTTTATGAGCTGTAAATCATGTATCGTTGTACCCTCATCCAAAACATAGCTGGAGTCTTGACTTGATTCCTTTCATGCTTATTTGAGAAAGCCTTCAATCTCCATGGCAACCATTCAGCTGGTTGGACCTAGCTCCACCTTGGAGACGCAGCTTCTCCTCTGAGCTAATTCCTTACAGAGCAGCCAGCTCCCCTTCAGCTCCTTCAGACTAGCCAGCAGCAATTAGCAAACACCTGGTGGATCTGTTGAGCACATTATAGGAGCTACTTCTCAGTGAAACCCTGGTAAAAGCGTTGTTAAAGGGTTAATAGTGGAGCCAAGTTGTGATGACTTCCTGAAAGAGGAGTTTCAGAAAGCGCAGGAGTTTTTCTCAAAGTGTTAAATAAAATTTTGAAGTGAAATTCCAGTAACACTTCATTTGACGGGTTGTGATTAAGACTGCCATGACATCATCATCAACAGAACTCAGTATCTGACATAAATTTGTGATAAAAGTATTACTGATTACACTTTAAAAATGATCTAGCTTTATGTTATTAAAGCATGAAGTCTTCATGAATCAATATTCATGAAGACTTACTTATGTTCACAGCAGGTGTTGTGTCATGCTCATGACGATGTCATGACAGTCTTAAAACTTTCTTTTGAGTCATATTTGATACAAACAGCATTTTTATAACAAATGAAGATAATATAACTACTTCATTATGGTTTAAAATAGCACCATGTGGTCAGAAAATACATAACACTGCCCCTTTAAGTTAAAGCTGTGCAAATATATGTATATTCTGCATTTAAGGTAAAAAAAGAAAGAAAAAAAAGTATTGTGGACTCAGGTGGCAGTTGTAGCTTCACCTGGTTCACATTTGGAAAAAAAAAAAAAGAAAAGAACAAAGGTCAACAGATTGATAGCTGCAGATGCATCCTTTGCTACATTCATTCATTAATAGAATGTTATTTTATATCAAGCAATATAATATTTCTTCTTTTATTCAAAAAAATTATTGAATCATTTGCTCAGCTGCATTTTGTAATGCATATGAAATATTTTGTAAAAACAAAAGACAAAAGGTAAACGTGGCTAAATGAAAAATTTGCGGAGCATGCAACTTCTTTTTAAACCGAACAATCATCAAAATAATCAACAGAACAATTGATTACTAATATAATTATTAGCTGGAGCCTGAGTTTGCAGCTGATGATTACAGTCAGCATGGAGGATCTTTTTTTAGTCCGCCTCATTCTCGCCCACCCAACCCCCCCACCCAACCCTTTCCCTGCATTCAGGTTCCCAAAGACAAATAGCACAGCGTAAAACTAATTAGTAACCAGGAACTAGTTAGGAGATGCCCTTTGAAATGCATGTCCTGAGGCGGGATTTAAATATAGGGACAGAGTCAGTGACTGAGTGTGCCTGGGAGATCCCAGCCTGCAGGCGAGGCAGCACTTTGACCCCTGACCCTCATTATGGAGGGCACATTCCTGGAGGGGTAGAAGCCCCGCAAGCTCAAAGCACAAGGGCGCAGGAGGACTGTGAGCGCGCTCGGCCCGGTTTGGTCCCGCAGACGTGAAGCGGACCGTCGGGCTTTGCGGATTCATTCGTATTTTTTTTACACATCTGGTTTCACTCCACAACACCGGCCAGCTGAAACTGCACACACTAAAAGGAAATCAGGGACTGAAGTGAGCGAAGCCCCGGCAGCAATGCAGGTGGGAAAGAGTGAGGGGAGGTGGGCGGAGCTTAAAGTGCAGATGAGGACATGTTTGATGGCGGCGCTGGGAGAGAAGTGGAAGGACTCTTTATTACATCCACCAGTCAGTCAAGTTTATTTGTTCAGCACAGTTCAGCAACAAGGCAGTTACAGACAGATTTACAAAAACACAAAGACATTATAAAAATTTGAGCTTTGTGGTTGAAAAGCTGAAATTGATGTAATAATTAATAATAGTTATTTTTAAGACTCTCCCAGGCCAATCACAGATATTGAGCTTTAAAAAGCTTGACCTGACTATTTTTATCATATTACATCTGAAAAGTTGCTCAATTCAGTGACAACCTCACTAAGTCGACTAGTTCTCCGAGTGCAAGCTGATGACATGTTCTGCTTCGCTTTACGGCAGTAACTGCTGCTAAAAATGTCATGCATAAGTAATAACTAATGTGAACCGGTTACTTTGTTTATAAGGAGATTGATACCGATGATCAGGTCTGACTAAATAACTGCTTAATATGAAATGTTTTCATTTCATCCTGAGTATATTTGCTCAAAGAATATTAGAATATTTACATCTAGATCACACTATTGCAGTAAAAGTTTCGTTCATATTAATGCCTTTTAATCATTTGAGTTTTTTTTTTCTTTTGTAATTCCGAGTTGAGTAAACAATCCTTCTGAGCGACTTTGTTTCCCAGCGGTTGTGACCAGACCTGGTTTACTTTCATTAGGCCGACACTCCCAGCACTCTGGCCGCGGCGCCGGGGGCAACAGTCCTCTTCAAAAAAAAAAAAAAAGAGTCCTGCTCCTAATAGTAGTGTCCTGTAATTATGTGCCATTTACATCTATCAGAATATCCTGTGACGCGCTGCAGCAGTGGATTTGTGTTTGTGCAAATGGTTTGGTTGTCATTAGTGTCTGGAGCTGCGGCTCGCAGCCTGTCGACACATTACTTCCATGCGTGTGTTTGAGTCGGTGTGTAAGTTGTGCGGCTGCCCCGAGGTGCAGAACTAAATAACAAAACTGTGCGTTTGTCTGAATTATGATACTTTTCTCCCTGTTGTTGTTTTGTTCTTTTATTTATTGATTATTATTATTTTTTATTCAGTTCTTGTGCTTTGTTCCTCAAGGCCAGTGCACAGTGCAAGCTTTGAACAGTCTAATTAAATTAGCATTACTCCATATAGCACACGTTTGGGTTAGATATAACCAAGTAAACATAATCAGCTCATTTGTCATAATAAGAAGGAGTGATTGGGAACTCTTTGATTAACAATTATCAAAATATTCTTTCATGTCACCCCGGATGACGAGTTTGGCTTCAGAAGCTCCTAATTACGTTTTAATCTCCTTTCTTTTTCTTGCAGGGACGTGGGAGTGAAGACAAACTGCGATGTGTCATCTGCAAGGCCAAGGTAGGTGTGCGCTTCGAGGAGGGGACTCCAAACGGGAAATGCGGCCGAGACGGCTGCGGACGCCTCGATGGTTTAGGCGTTACCATTTGAAAATGTCAGCGGCGGGGAATTTACGTAAACGCCGTTTAAGCCATTAAACAGTGTCTGCATCTTGAAAAACGGCTTCAACTCGAGCAGATCCATAACACTAATGAGCAATCAGCTCTTTGTTTTGCTCCGTGATTTAGCCCATCTAGCAGCCAGTTGTGTCGCTCACGTGTCGTCCCTCTTTTCCTCTTGCCAGCAGAGGAGGGGGAGGAAGAAAGGAGAGTGAAACATTACAATATTTGGAAAAGGATACAAGGCGTGTAATGACAATATCTGTATTCATTCCATGAGTAGAAATTAATCACGCTTTCTTGTGTTACATTTTCCCCCCACCCCGATGGAAATTTCCCATCAGGATTTTGCGTGGTCGTGTTTGGGAGTTTATTTCTGTGAAACGCCGGAGCTCATGTGTCATCACAGATGGGGTTGCATGCTGGATAAGGTGGCCACATGACTAACCATCTCAGATTATGGTGGCTGCTGTTGATGTGTTGCTTGTATTCATGGCCGTCTCGGAGGTCACAGCGTGGCGTCGGGGGGTTTATGCATGGTTCTCTGTGCCGCAGCGGGGTTTCTGTTCCCGTGTGTATGCATGGGACGAAGGATGATGCCACAGTAACCTTTCCCCGGTGACCTATCCGGAGTTTGAAGCGTTGGGGAAACACGGAATCGTTTGCACGTTGATTCTGCTCCATACCGTATTCTGTGACTCCAATCGGGGACGTCTGGTTTTTTCCACTGGGGTTCAAAGAACAAACGGGCCGAAATGTTTTGTTCTTCTTGGTTTGGGTTCTCGCGTACACATGTCAGCTGTCTCGTTTTACGTTCACTATGCATTGGGCGACAGCATGAATCGTCAAACAGGTGGCAGTGTGTGTCACTGCCTTATGTAAACTGTTTTTATTGGAAACATCAAGCAAACATTGGTCTGTCAGATGTCTGTAGGTCATTGTCACAACCTTGTAGAAGTACTCAGAGATCTTCCAGTCTTTAGCATTTTGTCGTGTTACAACCAGTGTATGTATAATTAGGTTTTTATGATGCAGGTAGTAGTTGTAGTTTTTATATATTTTTACAAGACAAAATCTCAAAAGTTGAGTTGGTATTGGTTTTCATCTACCCTAAGTTGATAGTTTATTGCAGCAAATGCTGTTGTACATCCTTTGGTATGTACAACACCAAATGAAGGTGTGAGATTGTTTTGGTAGCTCCATTCCCAATTGAACCACGTCCCCCAGAAAGGAGAGTGGTCGTGTGGTTGCGTTTTTGACTTTGTTTTTGTCTGCTCAAAAGTCTCCATGGTTTTCCTGGCGTCGGCTCTACGGCTCAAAGAGGCTCGAAGGGTTTGCACGTCTCATGATCTCATGATCTTGTGTTCACAAAAAATTTCCAGATGAGTTTTGAAAATCTCTTACTAGTTTCCAGTGGGTTTTTTACTCTTGCACTGTACTTCCCTATTATAAACTGTAGAAATACAAGACTTCCCAGATTTGTACAACTTACCTTCTATTGCCTAACTTTACTGTAGAAAACTGAGGTTCCCTGAAAGAGGTTCCGATCACCCCTGCAGACTAGTCACCTGCCTGTAATAATCCCTGGCAGTTTGGCTCAAATGAAGGCCATTTTTTATTGGCTTTCTGTTACTCTGACCATGTTTGGCTGCAGGCAAACCCAATTTGTAGCTTCTCCAGCTGTCTCCGCTCCACCGGCAGCTACGAGGGGACGTTTCTCGCACTTTTTGCAGCATCTTGCACTGATTGTTGCACTTGTCTTCGCCCATTGTACCTGTGGCATCATCATCAATTATTAATACCAGACAGTAAGTGTCTGAGAGGCGTCCCGCTGAGAGACCTAACAGCCATGAACAGGGAATAGTGGCGTGAGTCGTGAGTGGTGC